ACTTTTATAAATGTTATAAATAATAATAATAATGACTTTATACAGCAATAAATTTTCTTAAAAAATAATAGTGAAGTTTTATAATGAACAAAAATAAGTAAAAATATTATTTTGTCTATATCAAAAAAAAAAAATATAGATGTTAAAATAGTATTTATTAATATAAACTGTTATCAAGCTAACATATTCTTAAAATAAAGTTTTAAAAAATATTTTAAGAAACAAGTCCGCCGTGCATCGCACGGGATACACACTAGTTTATTTTGAGGGGTGCTATATATTTTTTATTAATAATTATAGATTTGAATTGATGTATATAAAACATAGAAAGTTGTATTATAAAATTATATATAATAATAGTGCAATATGAATTATAAAGTTTCAAACATTGACAATAACAAATTTAGATTGAACGATCTCTCAACTCATATATTTCATTAATGATTGACGCAATACTAATAGTTTTGATATTTTTTCTTTCCATTAAGCATATTTTATATGAATATCTTCTTCAAGAATTACCAACTTTTATGTTTTCACATATTTTCCATACATTTAATTTATTTAAATTAGAAAAATTATTATACAAAAATGTAAAAAGAGTATAATTTGTAGTTGAATTATTAGTAGAAAATGTAATACATTAATTATTTTAATATAATTGTATGATTTTATGTGAAAATAATATATTTATCATATATATATATAATACTAAAAATTAATTTTTTTTTTTTGGGGGGAGGGGGGACAATGGCCCCCCCTAGCTTCAACATAGATCCGCCCCTGTTTGTATATACTCATTTTTAAAATCGGTATTATAAACAGGAGTGTAAAGTTATAATGAATATCCCAAACATTTTATCTATGTTTAACTTATTTCCAATTGTTGGGATTTGATAATACCAACAAAATTATGGGGTATATTCATTTTTATTTTTTTTTAATTATGGATAATAAGAAATGTAACAATATGTTGATTTGATTTTGATCTTGGGGATTTTTCAGTAAATTCTAAATATATTTATATCTTAAAAACTAATGATATTTGAAAATTAGCTTTTAAAAAGGTTAGGAATATTAGAATCTCAAAAATTATTCTCTTTATTTTTTGTTTAATATGTGCTAAAAATTTTCAAATCTTGATGTATTTTAAAAGAAAGAACCAGTTAAAAAATGCAAAAATGAATATAAAAATATTTTAAAAAACCGTTTTGAGCAAACTTACTATATATAGTAAATCACAAAATTATGTTGAAAATTGTAATTACTACTAGTACAACTCCCGTGTATCACACGGGTGCTTGCTAATTTTTTTTCTTAAAATCTAAAATTAATGAGAAAAAATAGTTAAAAATTTAAATACCTTTTATAAAAATATATATATTATTATATATTTAGTATGACACTTTTTATTTGTGCGACTTACATGTGTTATATTATAATAATTTTTTTAACTTACAACATTTAACTATATTAAACATAAATATATCAATTGAGAAATAATTTTATTTTTCTAATGAATTTTAATAAATATAATTATTTTTTATTATTATAAATATGAATATAATTTATTATTTCAATATATATAATATGGATGTCAAATCGAAGATCATCAAAAGATGATTAATTTGATATATTATATATGTAAAACCGATAAGAAATACAAAAGTTATCAACTTTTAAAATACATTTACAATTCAATAGCTATTGAAGGAAACAAATCAAAAGTCGGGGATATATTAGTCACTTAGTGTCTCACTATGTAAAATTACAAGGAATTAAAGGTTATATTAGTACAAGTGATATTAAAATACATAAGTTAGCTAAATAATATTTATGGAATGTCCAAACCTAGATTAGTAATTATTAATATATCAATAATATTTGTCCAAACCTAATTACGAAGCATGATTTTTCGTCAAGTAGGATTTCGAAGCACCAGAAGCAGCCACGTAGGCTCAGCGCATTCGAGAATTATATATAGGGAGGATACTAAGTAAATGCCAAACTTTTTTATATAAATACAGAGAACTGGGGTACTCTCGAATTGGAGGGGAGGAAGTATTATTTGTTCTCTATCTGCATAATGACGGACATACTATACAATTAACTTGGATCACTAGCACCCTCAAATTGAGAAAACAATTATGGAAAGCTTACAACAACAACAACAACAACAACAACAACAACAACAACAACAACAACAACAACAACAACAACAACAACAACAACAACAACAACAACAACAACAACAACAACAACAATAATTGATAGAGACCTACCAAATAACTTCATTCTGGTTGGCCAGATCTCCTAGAAACTCCGATTAATGAATCTGGTAACTCGATCGCCTGAAATGGAGTTGTCCGTGATGAAGTTGATGATCTGCAAACAAGGGTTGATATATGCTCTTGGAGTTAGCACTCCCACGATCAACTTATTATGTTATCTGAAAAGGTTAAATATTTGAGATTATCTGATATTAATGTTATAGTATACAATAAAAGCTCGGCTTTCAATTTCTGACAATACTCTTTTGAATAAGAATCATGTTTTTTTATCAGTAGATGTAAATTTATAGATCAAATTGGTGTTCCAACAACCGACAAACGACATACAAAAGCGTAGTGGGCAGCCACAAGCTCGGCTCATCACTCGCGAAAGAAAAGTCTAAGAAGACAACCACAAACATATTGCTCACTCAAGTCCCCAACCAAGGCCAAAAGTGGCGAAATCGAGGAAGTACAAATGGTCGAAGGGATCGAGGATAGGAAATTCAGGATCAGAAAAGATTTGGAGGAGTCATTGAGGTCGAAGTTGATAATGTTGATTAAGGAGTTCGCTGACATTTTTGCTTATATGGCGGAAGAGCTTACAGGCATCAAGGCCAGTGTTATCGAGCATAGGCATAACATTAACCTCAGTGTGAGGCCAGTGGAACATAAAAGGAGGCACCATGGGGCAGAGATAGACAAAGTGATCGTGCAGTAAGTGGAGAAGCTTTTGAAGGTATAACAAATCATAGAGATACAATTTCTAGAGTGGCTATCAAACACAGTCATGGTGTCCAAGTCCAAAGGAAAATGAATATATATTGACTTTAGGGATTTAAATAAAGCATGCCTAAATGATTTGTACCTGTTGCCAAGGATCGACCAGTTGTTCAACTCAACTGCTGGGTGTGAGTTGTTGAGTTTGATGGATGCGTTGCAAGCTATCACCAATACCACTGGCTCGAGCGGATAAGAAAAGGGTGAGATTTATAACGAGCAGATGTACCTATTGCTATGTTGTTTAGCCTTTTGGGTTGAAAAATGCGGGAACGACGTACAAAAGGTTAGTCGATAAGATCTTTAAGAGCAGTTAGGACGGAATATGGATGTATATGTCGATGATATGATGGTCATGAGCAAGAAAGAGGTCGACCATGTCGAGGACTTAAGGGAGACATTCACCACGCTGAGGAGGTATGGCGTGAAACTGAACCCAGCAAAAAGTTCTTTTGAAGAAGTCGAATCTGTAAAGTTTCTCTGATACATGGTCCTTAGAAGTACATAGCTCACTCAATTATGTTCGCTTGTTTGTCGCATAGTTGATCGCATAACCGTTTCGCAGTTTACCAGTTACATTCGTCTGTATTTCGCACAGTTTATCACATAATTATTTTGCATTTTATCAATTAAATCCGCTTGTCTGTCGCATAATTGTTTTCACACTATATAGGGTGAAAAAGTTAACTTTTATTTAGCGGTTTGTAAAACTGAGTTTGTCTTCAAATTGTGATGAAAATAGTTATTTTCTCTAACATTATTGTGCATTTATTAATTTTTTGATAAATTGCAAATTTAACTCATGAACTGAATTGTAATATATTCAAAGTTCTGAAATTCAATAAAGTTCCTATAACTTATCAAAATTTCAAAAGAAAACCCCACTAAAAAATTGGTCCCCGTCCATCGCACAGCCACGTCCTTGCCGCCGGTGAACAGACCAGCCGTTCTCAGCCCTAGAAAGACCTTGTCGGTTGACCGCATCCTCACGAAGATGACGACGTCCCCGACCACGAGCCGATCGAACCGACTCCACCCGGTAAAAGTAAAACCCTTATTTTTCTCACATACACAAAGGCCCTAATTTTCTTTTTTGTTGGTTTTCCAAGATGTGATCCTCAAAAGCCCTAATTTTTTTTTCCAAGGTGTGATGTTTGCTAGCTAATGATTTCATATTATGATTTTTGTTAATTTGCATCGTGCTTGATATTTGGGGTGATTGGGTGCCTGTATCTGGCCAGAGTTCTTAGCTCAGGTTACAAATATCAATTTCAGCTGTGATATAATATTTTCGGGTTACGGGAAGATAGTGTTTCTGAAACCAAAAGGGTCAACAAAGAGGGTTGTTGTCGAGGCGGATGAGGTAGACAAGCTTGAGGTTGTATTTGAATTCTAAAAAATATTCTCGTCGGTTGCTGAAAATTATCTTTATAAAGTTCACTACCACACTGCAAGCAGCCGTGCGCTCGTTTCTTTGATTTACGACCGTCATTTTGCGCTTGAAGTCGGTAAGATGGTGATTGATTCTGGATTTTAGTCGAATTGAATGTTCCTTAATCTTTGCTAAAACATTTTCCCTCACTTTTTGTGGCCATGGGCTGTTGTCCGGATTGAAACCGTTACGGCTTAGAATCGGGATTTCTGTGTTTAGTCTTATAATCCTTATCTATCTGGGTTAATTGAATACATAGTTCACATCCATATAACTTTCATAAGGTCAACAGATAGATTGATACATATCAAATGTACCATGATAAATTGAATGTTGGGACAACTTCAACGAAAATGAAATGATAAAAGCCAATAGGATGTTCGGTTATAGACCGTCAAATGTAGTTTAAGGCGGATAGTCTTTGCCATATGAAAACATAACAGTTAACAGAACAAGAAATTTATTGGAGTTTGATTGTTGAAAACTTTGTTTACTGATGCATGGACTGCTAGTTTGCTTCACTCGAAGTTTATTCCACGCTCGAAAACAGCACACATGAGGTCATAATTTGGTTCTCCATGGAAAACCCCATTCTTGTAACGGCCCTGTAAGGAAAGCACACAGAGTGGCGCAATCTTTAATTTTTATTGCTTCCTTAAAAATGAAAAAGGAAACAATTTCAGGAAGAATGAATTATGGAGATGAATCGTTTTACCTTGTATTTTACACTCAACAACTCGTCATTGCTGTAAACAATGTTATTCTGCTTATCCCATAAGATATTGTCTTCCTTCAACAGTTCTGAGAAATCCTTATATTTTTTCTTCAGGGACTTAATTTTTTGCTTGAGACAGCGGTCTGAGAAAATTGGGCCAAATATTGATCGGAAATTCCTGAACACACAAAGCATGCTTTCCTGGCTGAATGTTGCGCCAGGAGGATAATCAGCCTTTTCGATTTCCTCTGCCATCACTTTCAGGAAATAGTACTCACCCCGCCCTCTGTATTCTTCTGGTATGTTTCTCATCTGTAATTTGCAAGCTAATTAGATGTCATGTGTGAGAACAAGAGGTTCGTGTTATCGTTTCTGGCAAAAGTCACTCGTCAACAAAAGTGGAGGTGGAGTTTTCTTTCTCCTTTTGTTTATCTCTCAATCAGTGCTTACTTTATTAAGTAATGCTGCTCATATGGAGGTTAGAAGCAATTCATAAGGAAAGAAATCAAATTAGCGAGTCACTTATTATAAACTAACTTTGAAAGGAGAAATCCTAAATTGTCAAATCAAATAAACCATAACAGATATGAACTTTTAATTGATAATTAGCTCAATCAGTCATCATAATCTCCATAATCAACTGTAATTACCAATGTTTTCCCCGAAATCATGCATTTCTAATTCTGCGTCAGTTTATGTGTAATAATATCACATCACTTACAGTACCTACATGCTTTATACTGTAGTCTTGAAGTTAGAGATAAAAATGTTTCCTCAGATTTCACACAAGGACAAATTATTTTCACCCTGCTGCTATTAGAGCTGTCATTCATGATGCAATGCAGTCCATTAAAAGCCGTCAGGTATATGTGACCTGTACTTTTCTACAAAAACTCTTGAAGAAATTTCAATCAAATGCCATTTTTGGAATTAATGAACAAGTCAAGCTCTTTATATAGAGCCCAATAGAGTCAAAAGAAAGTTCAAATATTAATTATTGGTCTCATGGATATAAATAGGAAAAATTGCAATCAGTAAGAAATATATATACACATTGGCCTCTAAGTGAACTGCTCCATATAACCAATTAAGGTTCTTTCACCTGAACACCATAGTTCTTATGTATTCCATATATGATCTTCAAGTTTAACTCAAATAGGTACAGTGTTGCTGAAATTAATACCAAATTATGAGTGTAAGGAGTCATTGAGTTGAATAAGTGGTTTATATATATAAATGATTTTATTATTTTTTTTTCGGCAGGGCTGGATATGTGTAACACCTTTTTATACACTTTTCCATCTTCTGACGGAAATTAGAATTTGTTTGTGCCCTAGCAATTAGTTTGATCCTACCACATGTTTCTTCACTATGGTATGCTACATTTGGAGATTAGAAACAAAAAGACAAATGCAGATCGAGACATACCTTTTGCACTTCCGATAACTCAGAAATGCGGTTGCTGCAATTGATATATATTGCTCAATATATTAGTATATCTTTACGAATACAAATACTATTTTCCCCAAATAATGCTTAATTTGGTGTATAAGATGGTAAGAAGATTTGTCGCCTAATAGGATGATGCTCTTGTCGAATGATAGACTTAAAAGCAATGTTGGTTAATCTAGAGTTTTTGACGAACATGCAAAGCAAATTTGGGAAAGAAAGCTAATTCAGATACAAAATTCGACCCATAAATATGAATTATATTAGCCTTAAAGCTCCACAAGTTTCAAAGAGGATGTAGAATTCATATCTTACCTTGTCTGATTGGGGACTGTTTTGCTTGTTGAGTTTATATGACCTTCTGGTCTTATTGGCAAAGATAATTAGGAACCACAAGGGTTTCCGTCTTGTGTTCACTGATTTATTGAGGCTATTTGCTTTTCACTTTTTTGACTTTTTTGGTACAATTTTTATTATATTATTGCCACCGATAAGATATTTTTATAATCTCGTTCCTGAAATTAGTCGTGATTGAATTGTTGTAATTATTACAAATATCTCTAGGAATATCGTGAAAAATCTTATTAAAGAGTGAGCAGCTTTAGCCTATTACAGGTATTGCTTATTCATCATAGTTTGTTCGCTTTTCTCTTTCCGTGTGGGTGGGTGGTTGGTATTACACTTCTCAATCATCAATCATATGATTCATATTCACTTACATGCAACCACAACTTTATTCCAAAATCAACGCATCAATATTTTATATTCTTGTCCAATTATATTCTCAAAATTCATTGTATATGTCTGATCGATTTTTTTCACGCTTCCTCTTCAAGAAGACCAGATGAAAGGCTAAGAATCCTAGCTATGTCTTCTAGTCTTGTATGCACATAATGCTACCATCAGATAGGCCAAGAATCCTAGCTATGTCTTCTAGTCTTGTATGCATATAATGCTGCCATCAGAATCATTTATAGGATGCTAGTTCTGCAGAAATGAAGAATATATTAAATCTAAATTACTATTATTATTATTATTATTATTATTATTATTATTATTATTATTATTATTATTATTATTATTATTATTATTATTATTATTATTATTATTATTATCTGTTAGCCTCTCTCTCTCTCTCTCTCTCTCTCTCTCTCTCTCTCTCTCTCTCTCTCTCTCTCTCTCTCTCTAATTTTAAAAGTCCTCCTAGATATGTAAGGATAGAATACAAATCTACTTTACTACTCCAAATACCAGAAATTGAAACATAATATTACAAAGCTCCAAAATTCGACACATATGATTACAAAGTACAAAAGTCGACAAGTAGGACCGGGACATTCGCCATACAGAGGTATACCCTCCATATAAGAATTAACTAATTACAAAAGACAAAAAAATCAAATAAAATAAAAAAAAATAAGTTCAAAGCAGGTATTTCAGTTCAATGCAAGAAGGTAGTATAGAATTTTAGTAGGACATTAATTTTTTGGCCTAATTGCAGTAAAGTCATGACCTTACAACTTTTTGTCGTTTTAACCAAACTTTTGGAATTTAGCAAAAATAACATAACCTTTGTCTATTTTTCATTTTTTTGGCAATTCAAATCACTGTTGACGTGGTGCTTTTAAGCTGAAATGGCTGTTGACATGGAAATAAAAAATTTAAGCAAGGCTGGGGTTCGAACTTGGGACCTCCAAGTTGTATGCTAGAATGATAACCACTACACCAATGCAAGTTGTGTGTTGAATTTAGTAGTGCTTAATATATATAGACACTAGATATGAATAAATCTTTTATAATAAAATATAAACTTATAATAATTAAAATATAATAAAATAAATATATAATATTGAATTACAAAAATAAACTAAAATGAAGTAAGATAAAATTTATTATACTAAAGTAAACTTAAATTAAAATTAATTTATATGTTTCCTATTCATTAAAATAAATTGATTATATAAATATGGAAATGAAAAATAATAATGATAAAATTAAATTAATAAATAAATGTATTAAAGTATACGGGTTAAAATAAAATAAAAATAATATAAGATAAGATAATATAGTATAAAAATGGCAAAGTAAAATAAAAAAAATTATATAATAAATCATATTAAATATTAAGTTAAAATAAATAAAAAAATTAAATGAATAAAATAAAAGAAAAAAATATTATTTGAATATAGTAAGTTAATAAATTAAATATATTATATTTTAATATAATAATTTCATAAATTATATATTATATGAAAATAAAACTAATTATATAAATTTGGAAATGAAAAATAATAATGATTAAATTAAATTAATAAATAAACTAGATTGATGTACACGTTTAAAATAAAATAAAAATAATATAATATAAGATAATAAAATATAAATAATGTAAAAGTAGAAAAAATAAAATCAAATAATAAATAAATTAAAATAATAAATTAAAATAAATAGAAATCCTGAATATAATAAAATAAATAAATATTATTTTAAATTATTATAAGTAATAATTTATTAAATTATTATTTTATTTGATATAAGTAATAGTTTATTAAATTTTAGTGTATTTTGTAATTCAATATTATATATTTATTTTATTATATTTTAATTATTATAATATAAAATTTATTAACATTTAAATTTAATTTGATTTATTCATACTAGTGTCTATATATATTAATCACTACTAAATTCAACACATAACTTTAATTGGTGTAGTGGTTATCATTCTAACATGCAACTTGGAGGTCCCAAGTTCAAACCCGAGCCCCGCTTAAATTTTTTATTTCCACGTCAGCAGCCATTTCAGCATAGAAGCACCACGTCAGCAGCCACGTTGGCAGAAATTTCCACGTCAGCAGCCATGCCGGCAGACATGGCCCGAAATTGGGCCCTGTGATTCGAGTTGCTAAAAAATAGACAAGGTTATATTATTTTTGCTAAATTCTAAAAGTTTAGTTAAAACGGCAAAAAGTTGGAAGGTCATGATTTTACCGGCAATTAGTCCTACTTTTTTTTGACTAGTTAGATAGTTTTTCCTTTTTTTCAATATGTATACGTTGTCCATAATAAAAATATATCATATTTTAAATAAATTTTTTTATAAAAGTATGATATTCACAATATAAATGTATGTGTGTTTGAATTTTCACGTTGAAATATCATTTTTTAAAATACTTAAAAATAAGATAATTTATAATATAAATACATTTTATTTATTTAAAACATTTAACCTATTTAACTATTAGGCTCTCGTAAAATTTGTGATACATGTTTAGGTAGATGAATACTCGATAATTTGTGGGTATGGTAACACGCAAATGGAGGAGTATGATTGTGCTTTATGAATAATATTTATGGAAAAATTACTTTCAACATCAACATACCCAGTATATTCCCAACAGGTTGGGGAGGTTGGGGTTTTGGGGGGTCAGTTGTACGCAGACCTTACCCTTGTAATTATACAAGGAGGCTGTTTCCATAGCGACCCAAGGTGCGTTGCGTCGTTTGATATATTTTTTTCTAGAAACTTCACTAATAGAAGAAGCACTAGAATTTAATTGAGCCAATTTTGATCTAGTCCATTATTAGCACTATGCCAGGAGAATTGTCAACAATGACTCTTCCAGCTCCATATGCAATGGACCAAATGGAAAAATTACTTTATTCACCTTAAATCAAAAATTATTTTCAAGAATGCTATGTTTATTTTCTATTATATTTATATACAACTTCATTTTAGTTATGCATCAACATTTTACATATTCCATATATATTCTGCATAATTTAATTATGGTTAACTACTAAATTCATGTTTATCTACATCTATTTTAATCGGATGTGTATCATCTCATTATTTCAGCTGA